AAAAAAAAAAAAAAAAAAAGAAAGAAAAGAAAATTGTGAGGAATTACCGACTTTAGTTTTTGTTTAAAAACAAAAACAAAAACCCTTCCTAATGTATTACAAAGAGACTCCCTAAAAATGTTGAGGAAAAAATTTGTAACACTAAAAAATAGTAGGCCAGGTACTGTGGCTCATGCCTGTAATACCAGTACTTTGAGACACAGGAGAATCGTGTAAGCCCAGGAGTTGGAGACCAGCCTGGGCAACACAGCAAGACCTTGTCTCCACAAAACAAATAAAAAATCAGCCAGACATGGTGGCAATTGCCTGAAGTCCCAGCTGCTCAGGAGGCTGAGGTGAGAGGATTGCTTGAACCTGGGAAGTTTAGACTGTAATGACCTATGAATTCCAGCCTGGGTGACAGAGCAAGACCCTGTCTCCAAAAACAGAAAAAGAAAAGAAAAAGTTTATTTTTCTCTCATGTTCTGAGGTCAATGGTCTCAATAGGTTGTATAGCTATTTTTGAAGTCACTCAGGGGCCCAGCATCCTTCTAGCATGTTGTTCCACAATCTCTAGGACACTCTTATTTGCAGGGTGGGAGAAGAATCATTTCGGCTCCAACTGGTGGGAAGCAAAGAGGCCAGAGAAGCAGGCAAGCTATCTTGGAGCCTCACCTGGAAATGACACCCATTTGAGTTCACAACTCACTGACAGGCACCTGGCCACTTGGTCAAACCTGACTGAAACAAGACTGAGCCATGTAGCGTAACTGTGTGCCTCAGAAAAGAAGGATGGATTCAATGAGGTAAGCAATGAGTAATCGCTGCCAAAAAGGTATCTGGAACAATATAAAATGCTCATGATTATGAAGTAGTTGCCATAAAAGGCAGGATAATGGTTACATTTCAGCAGGGAGAGATTTTAATTGAGAAGTAAATTTTGAGGTGTTGGCAATTTAAGTGGTAGTTACATGGATGTTCTCTGACATTAATTTAAGTTTTGCATTTTTAGTGTTTTTCATGACAAAGCGTTTTTAAATATCTATACCTGTTTCAAAAAGATGTAACAATCCAATCTTTACTGAATGTGTATCTTGAGTCACCTCAGTCAGTCTAGCAGATAAGAAAATTAAACCCCAAAATGACTAGTATCACAGGTTTAAATACAGTTTGGTGTGACTTAGTGTTTTTAAAAGCAAGTATTCATAGTTTATTTCCATTAATTTCTGAGTTTAATTTCGATATTTATTTGGTATGAAATAGGCTCATGGAAAGAAAAACTAATTTACAATATTTTTCTTAGAAGTAAGAATTTGACATAATAACAGCTCAGTTATTATGTCAAACAAGAATCCAGGAGTCAATTAGAACTTTAGGTCCAGCATTACTCATCAATGATCCACCAGCAATCCAACTTTAATTTGGATTCATATGATAAAGGAATGAAACTGGTAGAATCTGTAGTAGAAAGACACCAAGGTGCTCCTATAATCCCTGCCTCTTGGTATCAGGTCCTCGTGTAACCCCCTGTCCCTTTGAGTGTGAACGAGACTACTGATTAGCTTCTAACCAACAGAACACAGCAAGGGCAGCAGCATGTATGTGATCACATTACATAAAACTGTAATGTCAGTCTTGCTAGGGAGACTTTTGCTGGCTTAGAAAAAGTGAGCTGCAGGCCAGGAGCGGTGGCTCACACCTGTAATCTCAGCACTTTGGGAGGCTGAGGCAGGTGGATCATGAGGTCAGGAGTTCGAGACCAGCCTGACCAACATGGTAAAACCCCATCTCTACTAAAAATACAAAAATTACCTGGGCACGGTGGCGTGCGCCTGTAATCCGAGCTACTTGGGAGGCTGAGGCAGGAGAATCACTTGAACCTGGGAGGTGGAGGTTGCAATGAGCCAAGATCATGCTACAGCACTCCAGTCTAGGCAACAAGAGTGTGACTCCGTCTCAAAAAAAAAAAAGAAAAAGTGAGCTGCCTTGCCATACTGTAGGTTGCCCACAGAGAGGATCACATGACAGAAACTGGGGATGCCTTCCAGACACCAGCAAGAAACTGAGACCCTCGGTCTGAAAGTCTACAAGAAACTGAATTCTGTTAACAATAATGTGAGCTTAGAAGAGAATGCTTCCCCACTGCAGCCTCGGGAGAGACACCAGCCCTGGCTGACACCTGGAGTGCACCTTGCAGAGGACCCGGTGGAGTCAGTACAGACTCCTGACACACAGAAACTGTACAACAATAATTGTGTCATTTTAAGCCAGTAAACTTGTAGTAATGTTACACAGCAATAGAAAATACAAAATCCTTATGAAAATTTCACTATTTTTCCCAATCTAAGAATCGAGAGAAAAGTGGTATATCTTTTTCTATTATCTTCTCAATAACTTTAACAAAAACCAGGATTTTAACATTTTAATGGGGTATTTTATTTTTAGAGATAGGATCCTGCATTGTTGCCTAGGCTGGACTTGAACTCCTGGACTCAAGTGATTGTCACAGGCATTAACAGGGTATTTTAGGACAATGACAAGAGTTGACAGGAGATGGACTATCATAAGTTTTTCATCAGAGCCTCATATTATAGCTGGCAGAGGCATTTCATTATTCTTACCAGTTTTTGAAGGGGAGTATATTTCCACATCTATCAAGTATATACCCACTCTATTACTCAAAAAATATACGGAATAATAAATGTGATTATGATAGTGTTTTACACTGTCAATTGCTAGGCATGTAATTCACACTCAAAAATTCTCACCAGTTTATTAATGACTTCTACTGCAGTAAGGTATATAAGCAACAGACCAAAACGTTAAGTGCCACTGTATCTTAATCAAGAAGCTGTGTTTATAAGAGCTTTTGTGCTAATATTTGGCAACGCTCTCAATTATTTCATTTCAATTTCATCACTCAATTATATCTCACTCACTTATGCCTTATTTTGTAGAAAGAGAAATCAACCACAAATTATTGACTCAGACTTACAAATTTAAAATAAAAACTACTTTGCTAGTTAGCAAAAAAACAAAATAAAACACCAAAAACCCTGATGTTACAAACATTTCAGTGACATCTGTGAGCACAGCACTGCTTTTACTATTGTACCACGTCATAAACACACATGGACTGATCCAATAATCCTTGCCACCTAAGAGTTTACATTTCTATGGCAGTATAATACACATATTGTCAAAAACCTATCTCTTGCTCACCACACACAACAGCAAATACTATGTATGGGTTCCATGACCTGAGAACCAAGATTAAAGCATCTCTTTTGAAGACAGTGAAAGACCTAATCCAGGTTCTAAGGGAATGTTTGACAGAAACACCTGGAACAAGGAAGAAAGTGTTACATTTTTAAAGCAACGAAGGTTAAGGGCACATGAAAGTTAGTGAGGAGCAGCTCAGTGTACACTAAATGAGTGTAAAAGGGGTGGGAGATGGGCTTCATCTGTCTACATGCATTCCATTTTCAATTCTTAGACTTTAGAATAATTAACATTCAAAGTATCAAGAGAGAGAAAGGTTCATAAAAATTACTTACTCTCTGTACTCTTTCCCCAAGTCTTAGAATCCACTAAATCACCTGAATGCATAGCAGACATAATCTTCTGAGCAACACTGGAGAGCGGTGTCTTACAGAGATCAAAGCCTACCAATGCCTCATAATTTTCCATTTTCACAAAATCCTAAATGTAAGATTAACATAAGGTAAATACCCATATATTAATTCTAAGACTTTAAAACAGGAAACACAATGAAGTTATTTTGAAAAATTTATATACCGACTTCAAAATGTCTATATTTATAACCATAGAAAATAGGCATCAATCATCCAATAATATAGATAGGATATTAAGAAAAAAGCAAAATAGAGACTTAATCCAGGTATCATAGTAAACAGACATAGAACTTATTTTCTAGGTAACCAATTTAGAAGCAAGCAATTTACTCAAATACTTCCTGAGATTTGAAAAATGGTATCAAATCTTCAAATAAATCTAGTAACACGATTATAACTGACCTGGGTAATTATGGCAGACACACAGCTACCATCCCTGCCTTGATCAGCCCCGCCGGACTCCTGGGCTGAGCAAGTGAAGTTCTGGATGGGGACAGTATAAATCAAGCATTTAAATTGGGCAGGGCATGACGGCTTACGCCTATAATGTCAGCACTCTGGAAGGCCAAGGTGGGTAGATCACTTGAGGTCAGGAGTTTGAAACCAGCCTGACCAACAGGGTGAAATCCCATCTCTACTGAAAATACAAAAACTAGCCAGGTGTGGTGGTGTACGCCTATAATCCTATCTACTCGGGGCCGAGGCAGGAGAATCAATTGAGCCGAGATCATTCCACTGAACTCCATCCAGCCTGGGTAACTAACAGAGATTCTGTCTCAAAAAATTAGTTAATTAAATAAATCAAGCATCTGGCCACCCATCTAAATAACTGACACTAATTTAAACAGAATTTGCTACCATAAACCAGGTGACCTATTTTCCACATTATTGGAGAAAAGAAAAATTTTAAGTAAATTCTCTATCCCAAGAGAGAATAGAAAAAAATATACACAACAAAAAACTGTTGCTCAAGTGATAGGGAGCTGACAGCAAAATCTTAAACAAAATTAACTGCTACAAAGTTAAGGTTTACATAATAAATGCAAAATTTTAAATAACAAACACAATAATTGGCAAAATATTTTTGTTCAATGGGTTGCAAAAATCAAGAGGGTTAATCGAAGTATGCCTGTTTTCTGATGGTTATAGCTTAAAAATTTCACAAAGACCACCCCAAATACATAGTTTTTAGACGGGCATTCTGTACTACAAGCAGGTAAGGAACAGTCTTGAAGGTATTCCTACAAGGCTCACATGGTATTTATCACAGGCCGTGTATAAATTGGGCACTCAAGAAGCATCTAATAGCTGATGAGCTACTTCAAAATTATTTTAGACCAACTCTTAAAATATTTTCTGGTTGCCGAAATACCATTATTAAATACAATTAAACATTTTTGCTCTTAAACTGATTAAAATAGTACCACAGATCTTTTGAACAACCACTTTTACAGAATTTTGAAATTAAAATTTCAAATTTCATTTGAAAGTCATTTATGATGTATAAGTCACATTTAAAGTCAAAGCACTGCTGAGCTATCTTGCAGAAACTTTTGAGTCCCCAGAATTCAGACTCTAAAATGAATGATGGCCAATAAAGTCAAAATATTCTGTGGTACAAGTAGAGATATACAAACAGACTAAAGGTCTATAGCAGGGAATTATGAAGGAATACAATTTGAGCAGCACAATTTTATTTTACAGTCAGATATGAGGGGACTTGGCTATTTCACATACTAAGGTCTACAGATTTTAAAATGCTGACTAGAAGTTCAATACATTTAAAAATATTTAAGAGTAGCCAGGCATGGTGGCTCACACCTGTTAATTCCAGCACTTTGGGAGGCCGAGATGGGTGGATCACGAGGTCAGGAGATTGAGACCATCCTGGCAAACATGGTGAAACCCCATCACTACCAAAAATACAAAAAAATTAGCTGGGCATGGTGGCGCACGCCTGTAGTCCCAGCTACTTGGTAGGCTGAGGCAGGAGAATCACTTGAACTCGGGAGGCAGAAGTTGCAGTGAGTCAAGATTGCACCATTGCACTCCAGCCTGGCAACAGAGTGAGACTCCATCTCAAAAAAAAAAAAAAAAAAAAAAAATAAAAAAACAAAAAAAAAAAAAAAAAAAAAAAAAAAATTTAGCAGCAGAAAATTTCTATTTTTAAAAAGAGATTACTGTATTAAAAAATATTTGCATTATGTAATAATGCTTTTTCCTTGTAAGTAAAAAATTACCAGGACTAGTATCACTAAACAAAGGCTTGTCATAAAGTACTGGTACTCTGAATGTACTACATGAGAAAAAAGTCAAATTAATAATACTTGAATTCATCAAATGAAATGTTCCATTATCCTCAAATTTAAAAAATTTCGTAATGTTTATTATACATAGTCTCCTCCTAATAAAAGAGCATCAGTAATAAAGATTCAGTTTTCAGTAATTTTCAATCTTCAAGACTAACAGACTTAATTTTTGATTGGGTTTCTAAATTCTCCACAATATCTTTCAGATAATCTTCATCTTTTAAAAAATATACATATAATTCTCTTTCCATTTGATGTAATTTATTATTTGCCAAAGTTTTTCTTTTTGTCTTCACATCAGCAAGAATATCAGTGAGGAGATGATTTAGTTTATTCATTTGAGATTCAACTTGATGAAACTGCTCTGTTAACTCCTAAAAAAGGAAAATAAAAATAAAAATTCAAACACTTTATTCCTAACACCAATTATAAAATTAAAATATAACTTACATGGAAAGACTTTAAACGATTTAATAACTTCCCACAATTTTAGCAATAAATCTCAATTTAAAATCCATAACAGGTTAATTGCAACAACTTCTGATAATTTTAAGCAAACCCTTCCTGAAGAGTACTTGATATGTAAGTTGTTCTGTGTATTCATATATTCAACAAATATCATTGTGCCAAGTACTGTTTTAGAGATTACTGATAAAAATGAACAAAATCTCCCTCATGGAGCTTATATTCTGCTTAATTAATCAAATATTGTTTTAGCCTATTCTCTGTTTATTCTAGAAAGAAGGTACAGAATATAAGACCAATAAAAAAGAATTATCTAAACACAAGTCTCCATTTTTCATATTTTCTTACCAGATATAATTACACATGATATTCTACAAAAATCATCTTGACTAATCATGTAATTTTCCTGCTCAAGAATCTAGCCATGCCAGAACCTTCACACTTATTATAATAAATTCAAATTCCTCAGTTTCTAGCATTTAAACCAGATTATTAGCAAGTGTCCATAGCTTTCTAATTAAGCATTTTACTTAAAATTTTAGCCAGTATCACCAAAGAGGTTTTCAGAAAATCTGCTGCTCTAACTACCCTCAATTTTTCACAGCTTCTCAGCATGGTCCACAAGCATCATAATTATCTGAGGTACTTGTTATGAATATAGACTCCTGTACCCCACATTAGACTAAATTACTTAATCTCTGTACAGGACTAGGGACCTGCATTTTGATATGCTCCCTGATGATTCTAATGTACAAGTTCAAGAATGACGACTTAAGACCTGTCATAAATGCCAATTCACAGAGCAGTACTTCTTAAAATACATATTTTTGAAAATCAAGTAACTTTGATATTATATCTACATTTAGTGATCTCCTCTAAGACAAACTTGGTAAACTTGAATATAACGAGAAACAATGATCTCATCTTTACCTTCAATTAAATACTAAAAATCACATAATTGCTAAAACAGTATTGCTACAGATACTGAAGTTCAGCTTCATTAATAACAGAAACACAAAACTGATATGGCATTTTATATCACATTAAGATAGAGAAAAACACTAATGATACCCAGTGATAAGACTGCAGTGAAATTACCATATTTTAGTAATTACTGGATACATGTTTTTCATATTTGAAATGAAGATGCATCTTAATCAAGAATCTCATTATGATTGTTTCTGGCCAGGTACTCTTAAGAAATACTTTCTCACCAACATTCTTGATATACAATGTGGAAAATTACAAACAACTTTGAGTCAAAAAAATAACTTAGAATTGGACACTGAAATGTGAAGCTTTAGAACTACCCTAACCATTTAAATTATTTTTCTCCTTTTAACATATGTCCAAGAGTGGTATGATAAAAATCTATGTCTACTTATACCTAAAAAGATATTTTCTAGTAAGTATGAAAAACAAAAATTCTTAATAAGAAAACATTATGTCAGTTTAAGAGTTTTTTGTTTTAGCAATTCATAAAATGATGGTGTTCCTTATGATCAATGGTGTCTACTAGACACTTAAATAGCACTGGTAGCATTATAAACTCCTTTAAAAAGCAGTACAAAGGCAAAAAAAAGTATATATATCGCCCTAGCATAAAAAACCCCAATGATCCTGTTTCCAAGAATTTATCCAGATGGAAGTATCCAACAACAAGCTACATACCCAAAGATACACAAAGATACTGATGTTCAAGAGCAAACAAAAGAAAAAAATGAAGACTATCAAAATGCCCAGTAACAATAACCATGATGGCACAGTAATTAAATCAATAGGGTACAGTTAACATTAAAAGAAAACTATTTGGAGAGTAAAAATGTTTATTTCATCATGCTAAGTAAAAACAAAACTACGGTCTTTGCTGAGGTTCTTTAGAAGTTAGCACCATGGCAGAAGAAATGAAGATCAAAATTAAGAACTACGGAACTGTCCCTTTTGACAGCCACTCACCAACCAGAACCAGAACATGAACTGCTGGCACAACTACCTGGGCTTCTACCACTCCAAGAAGGTAATGACTGCTAAAGAGGATGATGTCTCTGTGTGCAAATGGTACTGGCATGTGTACAAGTCCCTCTGCCCCATATCCTCAGTCTTGGCCTGGGACAAAGGCATGTTTCTTGGGAAGATCTGAACTGGTTCCACCCCACCTTTCCTGTTTTCCATCCTTCTCCCAGGGTGGTAAAGGGGGCCCTGGGTACATGATGATCCCTATCCTGGGTCCATGAATCAGGACTTAATAATAAAAACTTACTGGACACGTATAAAAAAAACTATACGCCTTATAATTACGAAGCAAAAGAAAAATGGCACAGGAATATTAATATGAGACAAAAGAATATCAAGACAAAAAGCATCATAGGAATAGTCATTATGCAATGCTAAATGCTTTGATTCACTGCAATTTAAAACCACCAGGATAATTGTTCACTGCAATTTTAAACTTGGATATAACTAAAAAAAAAATAGACTCAAAATACATAAAGAAAAAAATGATACAAAACTACATGGAGAAATTCTGAAATCCACCATCAGAGCAGAAATTTTTACACAATTCCCAATATATCAAGAAGGCAAAAATCAGTAATGGGAGACCTTTCAAAAAAAACCATCACAGATACCACTTCACACCCATTGGGATGGCTATTTTAAAAACTGCAGGAAATAACAAGTGTTGGCAAAGATGTGGAGAAAGTAGAACTGTGCATCTATGAAACATACAAGACTATCATAGCAGTGTGACCTATAGTAACAAAAACTGGAAATAACCTAAATGTCTGTCAATCTAACAGATAACTACATTGTGGAATATCATATAATGGAATACTACCTATACAAAAGAGAAAACTGAATGAACTATATAGCTTTACATGTATCAACATGAGTAAGTCTCAAAA